CCCTAAAATTGCTCAAGTTTAGTGGAAATTTGAAGACAAAAAAATCTATAGAGATAAATCTAAATTTTTTCCTCCTTTGAGCAACGAGTTTTTCATGCTAAATACTTGTATTGATTTATGTTATTCCGTAATTTATTTTCTAGCATAAATATTTAAAGAACGTGGTTCTATGCGTGCTTAGGTAGCAGTCAAACTAATAATAATTATCCATTAATAATCATATCTTTTAAATAACTTGATAGTATCAAACTTTTTAACGTACCATTGTAATAATGAATACAACTTATACTCAAATAAACAGAAAATATTATAGGTAGAACAAAGGACACAACATTATAGACATAGATGTGTGTGTGTGAATAGAGGATGGGCTTAGGAGACAATCTTAGAGAAGAAAGATTCTCTTGAATCACCAACTACTATCTATGTGTATCAAGTCATGTGGATTGTCCATTTTGAAGTAAAAAGGAAGAAAAGATATAGAAAAAGAAAAGTAGAAAATGTAGCTAAAAAGGTACATAAATATATAGCTATTGGCCTACCATGTTATCTAAAGACCCTATTATTATTTTTTTGATAGAAAAAATCTAACATAAAGCCTTTTACAAGAAGCACCTTCATTAAGTTTGGACACAAAATGATATGACTTCTAAAAAAGAGTTGTTTGACTTGAGCCTTTAAGAGTAGTCTTTATTGTCTACCCCTTTTTCTTTTCTAAACCTACATTTAATTTTTGATTTAGTGTTTTTTTCTTTCAAACTTGGCCAAGACATCCAAGTATACAAATCAAAGATGTATGCTTAATTGCAAATGTAATTTGAGTTTTGTATATATGTTTTTTTATGGGTTTGAAGGGAGTTTTTATGCCAACGGTAATTTTTTTAATCTTGAATCAGGAGTTCATGAATTTAATACGTGAAAATAATATATTTTTTTTAAATATAAGGTAAGACTTAGTAAATATATTAGATTCAATATGTTTCGATCCTTTTAGATTGAATCAGATCTCGTCCTTAATTTATTTGAATTTCACAGATAGTCTCATGTACGAGGTTACTCTTTAAAAAATTATTATTATCATCGGCGATTTCACTGATTCTAGTTCCGTAATATTTGAGGATGCAAATAATCAGTTTTAATTATTATTTAACTATCTAATTTGAGACAACATATATATATAAAAAAAAATATTGCATTTTCTATTAACAATAATTGCAACATCAAATTGTTAGTCTTTTTCTTTTATTTTCTTTTTAGGAAAGAAAAAACGACAAACTAAAGTCAATTGAAAAAGGAATTAAAAAAATAAATACTAAAAGAATAATTGAAAAAGGTACAAAGAAAAATTAATAAAATACTTTTCCCAAAGAAAATTCCAGTTGCACTTTTCTCTTTTTTGTTGGAGTTCCTTTTTTTTTTTTTTTTTAATATAACTTTTGCTTAAAAAGTAGCTACATCGTCTATTTCCTTCTCTTAATTCGAAATATTAAAATTAGAAAAGCAATTGTATTGTAATATTATTTATTATAAAATTAATACTTAAAAGGGAAGTTGACAAAATGCAATAATTTTGAGAGTCAGATGGTAAGCTTTACACGATGGAAAAAATAGGAAAGATTAGTGTCATGTTTGATAAGTTTTTTGTAAGTTGATTCTTTATTACTTAATATTATTTATTTATTTTTAATTAAAAAATGTTTAAGTTAGTGAATCGAGTTGTTTGAATGAGGTTAGAAAAGAAATAAGTGTTTTTACTATCCTATTTAATAATCGAGTATAATATTAGGATAAAATTTTTTTAAATAATCTTATAATCAGAAGAAGATGTTTAAAATTTTAATCTAAACTCAAAGTTAAGTAAAATAAAAAATCGTATCAAGCTAGAAAACATCACATTTAAATTATTTTGATGTACATAGAAATTCAAACGTCTTAATTAATCTTAATAAAGTCGAATATCTCCTTAGGACCATTCCACCTATGAGGTGCTAAACACATTATTATTCAAAAACTCTTATTAAAAAAACACAAATAAGTGTAACTAATCACCAATGTGTGTTAAAAATCAATCTCAAGATAGCAAGAACACAAAGTTCTAATATTCATCATTCATACAAAAACAAAATTGATTTTTGTTGTGAGATACATAACAAATACTTCTTAATTGATTAAACAAAACCTTGTATGGTTGTTAATGTTGAAGAAGAAGGAAGCTGACGATTGAAACACGTCAAAGAAATATGTTTCAATCGTCAGCTTCCTTCTTCATCAACACATGCTGCAGACACGTCACACGTCAGTCAGCTTCGTTGGACATGTTCCAATCGTCAATTTCCTTCTTCTTTAACAGTTAATTAACTAGATAATAAATAGCTAGAGATCTTTTATTTTTTTTAAACCGTGAGTTGAATTAAATAAGCTCATTTATTAATTCTTCAACTAAAATCCTTGACTCAACTTCCCAAACACATTGAATATTGATAAATAGTTAGATTTATGTCGTTAGGCAAGTCTGGAATTGATGTTATGTCATTTTCTTTTACCCCATTAGTCCTCTATTTTCAACATCATTCAAATTAATGGTGGTCCTTCATGAATTTTATATATATATATATATATATATATATATACACACACACACATATAGGGGGTGGATAATTTACATAAACACCTTATATACTATTCTCCAACATTCATAATAGGAATTGGACCCCCTCTTATATGCTTTGCACATGTACAAAAAAATAGGTATCTTATCAATTATCACACACTTCTATTGAGGGATGGGTTTTCACGTGAAGGATGGAAAGAGGTGTGTGTGTATGTTTGTGTTCAAGATTTCTATTTAAAGGATATGGTAATATTAGTTGAACTAATTGAAAGGATAAATTAAAATTCAATAATTACACCAAAGTATAATGTCAACAAATGAAAAATACTAGATAGAGATCGGAGTTTTAAGAGAGAAAGAAAAGAGACTTTTTAAATTTATGCTTTTTGTTGTGTTACGTATAATAATATTTGTGAGAAAACAACTTCTCATTAATAAATTTTAGTTTTCTTAATAACGAACTAACAATAAAATCAAAATTATGTATCCTATGTATTGAAGGAGTTGAATGTTATCATTTTTACTTCGCGTGATCGACATAATATATAAGTAAATATCAATGGAAGGATAAATTCAACAATAACACCATAGCATGATGTCATAAATGAAAGTACAAGTTTAATTCAATAAAGGTCAAAGTTTAAGAGAAAAAATATAGGCTTTTTGAACTCGTATTTCTGAGTGTGTTACTACATATGACATGTGTCAAGAAAAACATCTAACAACAAAATCAAAATTGTATCCTATGAATTGAAATGGAGTTGAATGATATCGTTCCTACCTTGCAGATACTATATAAATTTCACCAAATGTTATCTTAGACACTAAGAAAATAGTATCATACAAATAATAGAAAATATAGAATGAGATGTTATCATTTTTACTTCGTATGATTTGGATACTATAAAAGAATATCATGAAATGTGTTTTATTAGACATTAGAACATACTAATAAAAAGACCACTAGTACTCATTTAGATGGAGTAGGATGTTATTATATATTTGTAATTAGCATGATCCTGATGATCTCACCAAATGTTCTGTCAGACAATATAATATAAGATTTTGAATAAACACATAAAATTTTTCCAAGAATTGTCTTATCAAGCAAAAAAGCAAAAGCTATCAATTATTGTAGAATCACTAAATTGATATTGTTGTGAAGTGAAGCAAGAGAAGATGCCTAGCTCTGACTAAGACAACTAGATGACAAGTTGTAGCATAGGAGGTATGGCTCCTATTGCCTTTTTCATTAATTTTCTTCCTTTTTTGTGGAGCATTTTGATTGAACTTTTTGCAAATTTTCACTTTCCAAAAAGGCCAATACATAACATGGGTTGGCAAAGAGTTAGACACAAATGTAGACATATGTATATAGATATAGGATATGGGGAAGAGAAATCATGCTTTGAGCATGTCCTTTTTTTCTTAGACAATTCAACAAGTGGCTATAACATGGGTTTGTCACATATTTTTAGGATACAACAAATGCCAAACAAGTGAAAGGGGATAGAAAGGAAAATACTATCATAGTATATATCATAACGAAAGAGTGGGATGTTATCATTTTTATTTCGTGTGATGTATTCAAATACTATATACTAAATGCTTTTTTAGGTATTACAACAAATGATAAAAAAAAAATAGTATCATATAAAACGGTAATAATGTAGTGGGATGTTATCATTTCTACTTCGCATAATTCAAATGTTATATAAATTATCATTAAATGTGATCTATCAGACATTCGAACGGACTAATGAAAAATAGTATAATTGGAAATGTAACAATAGAGTAGGGTGTTATCATTTCAAACTTCATATAACATGAGTTAACATTTTTACTTCGTATGATCCAGATACTATATAAAATTTAACCAAACGTTTTGTTAGACATTAGAACAAATAAATAAAAAATAGTATCATATAAACCGTAATAATGGAGTGGGATGTTATCATTTTTAATGCGCACGATTCAAGTGCTATATAAAGTCTCATTAAATGTGATTTATCATACACTAGTACGGACTAATGAAAATAATATAATCGGAAATGTAACAATAAAGTAGGATGTTATCATTTCAAACTTCACATAACATGAATTGACATTTCTACTTCGCGTGATCCAGATACTATACAAAATTTGATCAAACATTTGTTAGACATTAGAACTAACGAATAAATAATATTATTATCTAAACGGTAATAATACGTACAGTAACATGTTATTATTTCTACTTCACATGATTCGAACGCTACATAAAATATCGTGAAATATGTATTTTATCTTGCACCATAACAAACTAATAAAAAATAGTAGGATGTTATCATTTCTACCTTGCATAACATGGGCTAGGCAAGAGTTATAGATACAAACATAAACATGCATATGGATGTAGGATAAGAAGAAGAAATCAATTCATGTTTTGAGCATTATCCTTTTTTTCTTAGACAAATCAAGAAGTGGCTATAACATGGGCTTGTCTCACATATTTTAGGATACAACATATGCCAAACAAGTGAAAGGAGATATAAAAATAACAAACAAAAGGAAGGTGGAAAAAGCCAAGCTAATCTTCACAAAAGCTATATTTCCATTCACACTTTAAAAAGGTAGCTAGGAGATAGTAATTATAAGTGGATGAAAGCTTGGCCCTTTTGGTTTTTGCTTTGCCTTCATTGTTTGGTTTTTCTCTTTGTAAGAGTCCTTATCCATCCATGTCTCACCTTCACACCTTCTAATTTGGTGCCCACATGATTGGCATTACCACCTTTGGTAGATGATCTCTTTAATTTAATTAGATGGAAGATGTGACCAATCCGCTTTCGCCACCTAAGTTGCATACGTGGCTTTGTAACATGATCTATTAATGCAACTTTATTATTATTATTATTATTATTATTATTATTATTATCACAATGCTTAATTAGTGACAACTTTGGTACTGTGCCAACTGCTCCCTTCTCCCATGAGCCTACTCCATTATTTTCAAATTTTATTGAGATAAAAGAATCTACAAAACAACAAAAAAGTTGAGAGTTAGATCTATAAAATAATGAGTAAAAACAATGATTGTTGTTATTTTACTTGCATTTAAAGTCAATTCATATCAACAACAAAAACCACACACCAAAAAATATAAGATTTTTCAATATAATAGACTCATATTTAATTTGAATGAATTACTAGTTATTAGAGAGTGATAAGGCAGTGATGAAATCAGAAGGTTCAATATGAAGAAGTAAATATATGAACTAGTCGAAGAGATTTCAACATCTAGAAACAATTTGCAGTATAAGATACCAGAAGGTTCAATATGCAAGAAGTAAATATCTGAACTAGTCAAATAGATTTCAACATTTAGACATAATTTTAATCAGATATAAATAGTGTAATTATTCCTGGGTTATAAGTATGCAACAATTATAGTAACTATACTTCATATACAAGGTTAATTTGAGTAACACACAATTTTTGTAATACTAGAGTAATTAAGTACATGCATTTTGTATGGAAAATTTACACCAAACTCAACTATGAAAACATAATAAAATTTAAAATATAAAAGTTAAAAGTTAAAAGGAATATGTAGATAATCATTAAAAAAAAAAAAGACACTTATTTGGTGCTAGTCGTTACACTTGCTACCTAATGCTTTACCTAATGTTCAAAATTACTGTTTTTTCATATTGACTTCTTTTCAAGTAAAATTGGGTTTTGAATCTTTGAACTTTTGCATGTTTTTTTTATTACATATTCACGTGAACTTATAACTTTTGACCTAAGTATATTTTAATAAATTTGATTTAAATTCATAATTTAATAGTTACACTTTATTATTAAAAGGATAAAGTAATTGAGTAAAATTTTATGCTACATTTATCAATTTCACACATAATAATCCATAAATGTCCAAATATATAGAACCAAGTTAAAGTTAAGGCTGAAAAATTCAAAAACATTATAAGTTCCCAAGAAAAGGGACCTGTCCAAAAGGAAAGAAAAAAAAGGGTGGGGTGAGGGGGGTGGGTAGAGACGAGAATTTGGCTAGAATGACATTTTACTTATATTATTTTATTTTTTAAAAATACTTTTACTATTTTAATTATAATATCTATTAATTAAAAATGAAAAAAATTAGTTTACCTTTTTTTAAAAAAAAAAACATTACAAATTTTTAAGTTTTCTGGCCAAATTTTTTGGTCATTTAGCATTTATATATAATGTTAATTCTATTTAGTGTTGAACTATAAGAAAATTTAATTAGTTAAAGAGTTTTTTAGCTACATATTATGATGTATAACTCTTTAACTACATATTATGATGTATTTCATTATTTTCTTGCAGTGAAGGAGAGTTCATTCAAATGAAAAAATTACAATGTACATAAATTTTAAAGTTGAAATTATTTATACATAGAGCGCATATTTCTCTTCATATATATATATATATACATATATATTCCTATAATATTTGGTCACATTTTGTCAATCTATTTTTTAAATATATTTAAGCCAGTTTCGAGATTTACAGTGCTCGCATAACTTCAATATTAAGTAAAATACATGCTCAAACATAACTTTAATTCTAGAAACCACAACTTCAAAAACTCAAAATTTAAAGTTTTCAACTTCAAATTCTATAGCTTAAGAAGAACATATAATATAGCTAGGTTGAATTTCCTAAAGGTTTTTCGCTTGTATACTTTTTTATTTATTTATAAATCTCCTTATTAAATATTCTAATGGTCTATCTTTTTATATATATGAAAATATCATTAAAATTTTCAAACAAATATGAAATTCTAGTATAAAAACTTGATCAACTTTAAATTCTGAATCGATGGATGAAAACTAAATTTATGTAGTAGTAGTAGTACCTTCATAGCTACAAGTGGAAGAAACATCAATATCATGAATAGTCTCTTTGCGTGAATGTCTAATATCAAGACGATTGAAAAAAGAGGTTAAAGCAAATATCTTTGGTAGATAATGCATTCTTGAATGTTCTTCTCCATCATCATCATTATTAATCTTCATTTTTTCTCTTAAATTAATAATAATCTTCTTCTTCTTCTTCTTCTTAATCATCTTTTCTTGTTTAGAAGCTAAGATTAAGAGCCTTTCATTCAAACACAAAGCACATACTCCCACTACAACTTCTTTTGGATGAAAATAACACAAACAACTAGTGTTGTCATTCATGTTATTAGTTTTAAGTTTAACAATGTTATAAGAAAAGTATAACAATAAAGAATATATATATTGTGTGTGTGAAAAGAATTCAAGGGAAAAAAAAGGTTTGTGTTTTTGAGTGTTTTTATGTGTGGAAATATATATGGCTTGAGCAACTCTTTAACACCTCCCCCCCCACACACCCCACCCCAACCCACAACTATGATCTTGACATGTAACTAAATGTTGGTGCTTTGATCGAGGATGAATCATCAACAATAATTTATGGACACAATCTTTAAAACATCTAATCCGATGCGATGAATAAAGAGGGATAATTTTGGGATTAAATTTTAGTAGTATATATTTTAATTCTTTGTTTAGTTATAAAGTTTGTGATAATTTATCTCAAACATTAATAATAAGTATTGAAATAAGTTATTTATATTTTTAGGTGAAATAATAATTTATCTTGAAATAAAATAGTTAAAATGACAAAAATACACCTTCAACCCTTTTTTATACATCACTTTTTCATATGTTTTACATGGAGGGTATTTTCAACTTTTTGTAAATAAACAACTTATGATTAGAAATTATGCAATACATATTATTTTTAATATAAAAAATCAAACATTCACTACTAATAATACCAGCATAACTAATCTCAACATATCTAATTTTGTCATAACTTGTCTTCAAACCGAACGATCCCTAAAAAATTAATCACTCTTGATTAACAATTTGAATTATATATATATATATATATATTATCAGTGTTATAAACAATTATGTAGTCAATTTATCTTCTCCTCTTTTTTTTTGGGTAAGTAACATATTGTACTAATTAAGGAAAATTACACAAATCGAACGCATTAGATAAAGTATTTATCCAAATTGGATCCAATCTAATATATTGACCCTATTTGGACCCATGATCCAAACTAATTACCTGACTACCCCTGTTCTATTCACTGAACCAATGCTTCTTCATCCTATATACCATTAGAGTATATATATGCTCTGATGGTATCAAACAGTGAATGAGCGGTTTAATTCATTGAAACAGTGCATGTTCCTCTTTGATGCCATCGGAATATTATATATTCTAATGGTATCAAAGGGTAACTGGATAGTGTTTTCGCTAAACCATTGCTTCTTTCTCATTGATATCATCAAAATATATATATATACTTTGATGATTTAAGCTATAAGCACAAATTAATAGTTAAAAACATGAACTAACCACTTGTTAATATTTTTTTTTGGAAGGGGTGGGGGGTGGGGTGGGGTGGGAGTGGGGGTAGGGGGGTTTACAACTATTCCTTTACATTCTAATAATCATCAAGTGAAACATAACCAATTTGCATTACTAGCTAACCTACTAAAATAGAAAAACTAGAGGCCTAACCAATTATCTAAAGCAAAAATATTAGTACATGAGTTGGTGAACAATGTACATAGTTCTTAGTGTAACGACCTGTTTAGTCGTTTTGAGCAGCAGATTTTATTTCTGGAAAAATAGGCTGAGATGACGGAACCCGCGACGGACCGTCATGGGCACGACGGACCGTCGAGGGGGTCTCGTTTCAAAACACTTAGAAATTCTGAAAAATGGGTACTGAAATCGACTCTCTGAACTTCGTAACGGAATGGCAGGACGGACCGTCACAGGCATGACGGACCGTCACAGACTCTTCAGAGAATTGAGTCTCTGAACTCTGTGACGGAGCAGCAGGACGGACCGTCGCAGGCACGACGACCCGTCACAGGCACGACGGCCCGTCACAGGCTGCGTAATCCCAGGCGGAATCAGATTTCTTTAATGTTTTAAGGGACGTTTTGGACTATTCCGGCTTATAATTCTAAAGTTAGTGGTTTAATATTAATAACTCAATTACTTGGGGGCTAAAAGAGGTAACCTTGAGTAAATTAGTGGGTTATTATTGCCATTTTTTATTCTTAATTATAAAAGAAAGAGGGTTTGAATAAAGAAAAATAGAAAGAACAAGTAGTGAGATTAGGGGATCGAGTGTCACGTTCCGACACCAGGATAGAATATGGATCGGGTGCCACGTTCCGGTACCAGGATAGAATATGGATCGGGTGTCACGTTCCGGTACCAGGATAGTATATGAGGATCGGAGTGTCACGTTCCGACACCAGGATAGTATACGGATCGGGTGCCACGTTCCGGTACCAGGATAGTATATGAGGATCGGAGTGTCACGTTCCGACACCAGGATAGTATATGAGGAGCGGAGTATCACGTACCGACACGAGAGGAATAAAGATAATGAATCTTGAAAGATGTTAATATACTCAATCTAATGAACCTAATTCCCAAATGAGTATGATGAGGAGGCGTGAGTCCTCGTTGATGAGCTTGGTGTTATGACCAAGGGTTATGGTAATTGTAAATGTCGCATGTTGAGTATTGTAGTTGATTTTATGATATTATCTGATATATACTGTTTTCTATTTTGAGTTGGCCGATGATATCTACTCAGTACCTGTGTTTTGTACTGACCCCTACTTGTATGTTTTCTTTTTGATTATTTGTGGAGTGCAGCAAACATACCATCGTCTTCAACTCAACCGCAACTCTAGCCAGTCTTCATTACTCCGGATTTCAGGGTGAGCTAATGCTTCTAGCTTGGACTGGATCTTCCTCTTCATGTTTTGATGCCTTGAAGTTCCGGCATGGACTAACTTTTTATGT